CTTTCCCATTGTGATGGCCATGGACTGTTATCCCCTAGAATGGTAAGCCAAAATAAACATTTCCTTCTACAAGTTGCTTTGGCCAGAGTGTTTTATTACAGCAACAGAAACGTGACTAAGACAGAATCTTTAGGTTCCATATCCTGACTTATTGCATCAGTTAAACCTGTCAGCACTGCACTGAACACAAATGCTGACATCACTGCCTTCCCAGCCTTAGGATGAAAGTGCTCTCTCCACAGCCACTACACCAGCAGCTCTTGGTTGTACACTGCACTTGCTTCTTCTTTTAAATGGTATTTCTTTTTTTAAAATGTTATTTTTGTTTTTTTAAGATTTTATTTATTATGCACACAGTTGCTTTGGCCAGAGTGTTTTATTACAGCAACAGAAACGTGACTAAGACAGAATCTTTAGGTTCCATATCCTGACTTATTGCATCAGTTAAACCTGTCAGCACTGCACTGAACACAAATGCTGACATCACTGCCTTCCCAGCCTTAGGATGAAAGTGCTCTCTCCACAGCCACTACACCAGCAGCTCTTGGTTGTACACTGCACTTGCTTCTTCTTTTAAATGGTATTTCTTTTTTTTTAAATGTTATTTTTGTTTTTTTAAGATTTTATTTATTTATTATGCACACAGTTGCTTTGGCCAGAGTGTTTTATTATAGCAACAGAAACGTGACTAAGACAGAATCTTTAGGTTCCATGTACATCTGCACACCAGAAGAGGGCACCAGATCTCATAACAGATGGTTGTGAGCCACCATGTGGTTGCTGGGAATTGAACTCAGGACCTCTGGAAGAGCAGGCAGTGCTCTTAACCTCTGAGCCATCTCTCCAACCCTAAATGGTATTTCTTATCAGTGTATGTGGAAGTCATTAACACAGTATGCATGTGGAGGACAGAGGACAATTGTGTAGAGGTAACTCCCTCTTTCCACCTTTTCATGGCTTCTGGGATGGAGCTCTGGTCACCAGGCTTGTGTGGCAAGTGCATTTACCTGCTAAGCCATCTCATCAACCCTGTAGTTATTTCATATCCAGTTGAGGAAGGTCTCCGCTGTTCCAGAATTTCTGTAGGTTTTTATGTGAATAGCCATTGATTGTTTTAATAATATAATGGACATATAATGGAGAAAATAAAAATCTCCATTTAGTTTTCTAGTTTATTCTCTATGTTGTGCAGTCAATCAACACTAACTGCAGAATGTTTTCAACATTCTATACCCCAAAGAAATCCTGTATTCAGCTATGCCCATTACTCTTCATCTCCTCCTTCTCTCCAGACCTTGGCACGGACCACTCTATTTTCTGTATTCAAGAATTGCCTTTTCTGGATATTTCCACTCCTTGTGGCTTGTGAGCCTGACATCTTTGATTTAGTATGGTGTTTTCAAGGTTTGTCCACATTGTAGCAATCCTCGCCTGTAGCTGCTTTTTAGGTTTTGCTTTCCGTTCACCATAGATGGACACATTCTCTTCATTCAGGAATGATGCTTGCTTGGAAATTTCTGTATGCTTGTCCTAGTTAGCTTTGTCAACTCGGCACAACCTAAAGTCCTCTGAAAGCAAAGTCGGGAGTTGCACAGATCAGGCTTATGGGCCTGACTGTGGAGGGCTGTCTCCATTACCAATTGATCCAGAAGGGCTCAGCCCACTGTGGGCAACACCATTCCCTGGGCATGTGGTCCTGGCCTATATAAGAAATCTAGCTAAGCACGAGCCTTGGAATGAGCCAGTAAGCATCATTCATCCATAGTTTTTGCTTCAAGTTCCTGCCTTCTCAATGATGGACTGTGACCTGGAAATGTAAGCCAAAAGACCTTTCCCTCCCCAAGTTGCTTTTGATCGAAGTGTTTTATCACAGCATGGAATGAAACTAGAATTTCCAACATGTGAGCATTGGGCATTGACTCAGGCTGTCAGGTTTGCTGGCAAGTGCCTTTACCTGATTTTCCATGGCTGCCTGATCTAGATGTGCTATGTGCTTCTCCTCTTTCTCTTTATAAATATTATTCACTCATTGTTCTTGTCACATACCCACACATGCTCAGTTTAAAGTCTCTCCATTGTTCCAACTATTTAATTTCATCTGGAGTGAATTCATTTTTTGATTGTTGATTATGTTGCCATCAAGCATAGCTCTAGATGTTTCAGGCTTTGAGTTTTCCTATTTGTGGGTTAAAGCATTTCTCTTCCCTCCCTCCCCCTTCTTCCCACCTTCCCCACTTCTTTCCAGCACATAGCATATCATGTTTGAGGCCTGGTCTGCAGTTGAGAACATGATTTTGACTTAGTGGTTCTGAGTCTCAGAATCTCACCCTTCTGTGGTCAGTTCATCCATCCGGGTGACATGGGCTCAGGGTTTGGTGTTTGTGTGGTTCAAGGGCCACACTTTTCACACATGCTGTCACCCCACCCCCATGAAATGACCGAGATGAATTTCTTCTTTCCAAGTGACTTGTTTCTTTTCTCACCTCTGGCTTCAAAAGACAGCCTGACCCTGTTCCCATCCTTGAGTCCCTATTACAGGAGAGGACTCAGAATTCAGCAGGCTGTGTCTTCAGCCACAGGGAGGCTGGTCTTGTCCATGGACCCAGTCACATGGTCCACTGTTTCCTCCTGTACTCACAGAAGAGACTGGGCTTCAGATCTAGAGTCATAGCGTCATCAGGACACGAACTGAACCCAAGTCCTCTTCCTCTGCTTTTCTGATTTTTAAACTTCTTTTAGTTTTAGTGGTTGGAGCTTGAACTTGCCTAACACGGATGAGGCACTGGGCTTGCTCTTCATTGCAAAAAACCAGGTATGCATTGGGGAGGTGGGGGCTGGAGGACCAGAAGGTCAAGGCATCCTGCATGAAATTTGAAATCAACCTGCAATTTCATTTTACTCCATTTTTCTGAACTACAACTTTTATTTGCCTCTTTGAAATGAGGCAAAGTATAAGCAAATATCAGGTTTTATCATATCCAAAATTAGGGTGAGCCTTCTGCGTTCTGTAATGTACATTTTATTGGCATATTGTCACGTGTTGTTTAAGGTTACTGCAAGCCGACTGGGGGGGGGTGGCTCCCTTGTGCCAGACCCTAGCATGTTTATTTCAGTGGGTCTTTAGAATTCCCTTCCAGGGGCAAACTGGCCCTGGGCTTCTGCCTGGGAGAAAGGAAGACAGCCTGCAGCTAAGGATCTTAAATCTTTGCAACCTGAGGACAGATAGAAGGCAAATTGAGCCCAACAGAAGTCACTATTGTTTATCTCACGGCAGAAAAATGCTTGTGGTGGGAGTGGGAACCAAGAAGCTCATTGGTTGCAACAGGAATTCCAGGTAAGTGCTTCTTGCCCAGTCCCTCTGGGTCATTCCAAGCCCCAGCTGTTCCCTGGGCCTGCTCTCAGCCAGGCTACCCCAGCCACAGCTGCCCTGGGTGCTGGGAGCATTGATTTGTTAATGTTTTGCTTTCTGCCTGATGCTTTCTAACTGATGTTTTACTTTTCCTGGATACATGCTTAATACATTTGCTCAACTGAAGGGCGGGGCTATGTGGATCATTGTTGGCACCTAATGACACACCTTCTTTCCAAGGCACTGGGATGTCGATGGAAGTGGAGCTTTACTTTTGTCCTGCTTGCCAGGTCCCAAATAATCACACAAAAACTTATATTAATTACCAAAAATTCAGTCTATAGCTCAGGCTTACTACTAGTTAGCTCCTACAACTTGAATGAACCCATTTCTATTCATCTACATTTTGCCATGTGGCTTCATGGTTTTACCTGTTCTCTAGCATGTCTTGTTCCTCTGGTGGCTGGCTTGCATCTCTCTCCTGGGCTCTGTACTTCTTTTTCCCTTCCTTGTTTTTTTCTTTTTTTCTTTTTCTGCCTAACCTTATCCTGCCCTGCTATTGGTCAGCTTCTTTCTTAAGCCAATCAGAGCAAAATATACACAGTGTACAAGGCTATTCCACAGCACTGGGGAACCTCAGGTCTTTATTGTCAACCACAGATGAACTACAGCAGGCCCCAAAGTAGCCCACAGCATCCAGGGACCTAGGGAGGTGCCACTGTGATACTGGGGCTGACTCACAAGGGGATGTCCAGGTGTGCAAGTAGGACGCTGAGGGAACTGAAAGGGGTTTATTTCCCCCCACCCCCTAAGACTTTTCCAGGGCTGGGGATTCAGCTCAGTAGTGGCATGCTGGCATGCTCGCAGACATGAGGCCCTGGGTTTGATCTCTAGCATCACACAGGGCTGTGGCACTCAGAGCCAGCAATCCCAACACACTGAAGGTGGCAACAGGAAGATGAGAAGGTCACAGTCATCCTCAGTTACATGGTGGGTTCAAGGCCAGCCTGGGCAACATAAGACACTGATTCAAAAAAACGGAGGGGAAGAAAACCATCCGAATCCAGTGTGGTGGTGAACCCTCGCAATCCGGTAACAGATAGGTGGAGGCAGGAGCAATTCAAGGTTATCCCTGGATACTTCCCGAGTTTCAAACCAGTCTGGCTTACAGGATACTGGCTCAAAAAACTAAAATAAAAAATAGTTTTCTTTTTTGTCGAGATTTGCTACTATGACCATGTAGTTTACACGAATTGCATTCAAGTTACAGTAAGAAAAGTCATCCTCACTTTAAAAAAGAAAAAAGAAGACTGCCACTGAGAGGCTCAGGATGCTGCCTTGGGAAGAATCAGAAAGAACCTAAGCTTTAATGGCAGAACCCACGCTCCTCGCTGATAGGCTGCTGAGAAAGGCGCATGGCCCGGGAGGCGGGGCTGCGTCACTTCCGGAAGGCAGGTCCCTGGCGGACGGCGCTCCGGAGGGCGGTCTCTATGGCAACCAGCAGGCCCTGACCCAGTTGCCTGGTTTTCTGCTGCTGTCTCGGCGTCCGCGCCCGCACAAAGACCACACAGTGACCGCGCAG